TAAGAAGAATATATGCAGTGTATTATTTGTTGAAACTGTACTTCCAATTTGATTTGAAACTGTCTCATTGCTATCTGTTTATCAGTAAAACTTTGAAAAAAAATAATAATAATAGTCTCAACTACAGGCTAGATTAGGACATTGCTTGCAAATTCTAATTTATAAAATCACTGCCAGGGTATTTGCTACTTAGTCTTACTGTTATTAATCAGTAATCCACACTTTATTTGATAGTTTTTAAAAGGGCCAGGCAAGTCTCTCAGTGGGTTAAAGTGCCTGCAAGCAGGCCCAGGGGCCTGCCCCGACCCCAGGGCACACTGAAAAGGCAATTGATACTGGGCATGGTGGCACGTGCCCCTAATCTCAGCTCTTGGGAGGCTATAACAGGTGGATCACTAGGATTCCCATCTAGTAGTGAGACCCTGAACACCCTAGAGACCTTCCCCTAAAATACAGGAAAAAAAATATTTTTAAATCTGAGTTCTACTACCTAATTTCAAAATTCTCCTTGTTTTTAAATTTCTCTAGCTTTTCCTAGTTTTCAATGTTTTTCTCCCTTTCAGTTTTAATTTTCCCTCTTGCACACTGGAATATTCTTTCACTAGAAGAATTAAATAGGAATCTTTCTCGCCTTTTGCTCACCCCACCCTTCTCCTTCCCACATCACTGCCTTTCAGGATCAGTCCAACAGCAGCCCACCAACACTAGGTTAGAGCTCTGGTGAGCACTGTGATTTTTGCCGGAGCATGAAAACTTTGAGATAGTGCTATCATATTTTAGTTTTAGCTAAACTCTAAAAGGATTTGAGAAACGTTCATTACTTAACCCGTAAAAGTTAAAATATAGTCAAAGGCTTCTACTATTTTACTAGGCACAGCTGGATACTAACTGAAAACATCGCCTTCTTTCACTATTGTTCTGTGAGTCTCCAGCCCTTCACAGCAGCTATATGCAGGGTGGGCAGCTTTAGCCTGTTCCAGGACTATGGGATCAAGTACACCAGACAACATAACAGCTGCTTGGAACCATCCATCCCTAACTCTTCCAATATCATCATTAGATTCGATCTCTGAGTCAAAATGTGCTAATCCTAAAAAGTTATCAAGAAAGACCCTTTCACCACACAAATTAAACCTATTTATGTGAGCAACACTGCTGTTATTTTACCATGAAAGTCTTTAAAGGAAATCAGAGACACTAAAATATCTAAAACAAAACTGGCATTTAAAAAAATCCAATCTTTTAGAACAGAAAGTAGAACAGAAGAAAAATGTAAAAGAAGTTAAAAGAGCAGACTTTTAAATTAGCTTTCATCTTGGCGGGAAAGAAAAAAATGTCCCTGGGAACTTTCTCAATATAGGAAATGTGGATATTCTTGGCCTAATTCCTGTCTAGCGCTTCTCTGCACTGTTCCTCTCTCAGCCACACTTCCCCCAGCCCCTCTGTGGAGGAGTGCTCATTTGCATAATTAAACTGCTTGACAAGAATGCTGAGGGAGTGGAAGGAGGCATACACTGAGCCAAGTGTTCTTCAAATGCCATTCTTACCCACATCCCTGCTATATGAAGGAAATTGCTGGTGGCTTTGTAGAGAGCAGGGACGTTATTACTGACATCAAAGTGTTGAAAAAAATATATTTTATAAAACCAAATATCTATCAAATTTTTCATGAGTCTCCTGGCCAGAAGGTGGAAAGAAAGGTAGCAGGGTCAAGGAAGAGATACGAAGGTGAGAGAAACACGAAATGGAGAATTGAAAAGCATGGGGCATCGCTTGGAGCTGGTCAAGGTTGAGCCTACATATGAGTGGGGTTAACACTGCCCAAGACAGGCATGACACGATCCAGAAGATTACGGGCATCAGCCACCAGATTCATTAAATTATCTTCAAGAGACTACTCCTAAAATGAACTCAAATTATCGAATGGTTGATAACCTACTAATAACCATGTATATATGCAATAATTTAATACGATTGTTTTTTCTCAGATTATCAAGAAATAAGACCTTTTGAATAGGGAAGGTTTTTGGAGAACAAAAGAAAAGTCTCAGGCTAGTGAAGTTTGGTCTACAAGACATTGCAGCATTATGTTCTAAGCCCAGAGGTTAATGTGGAAAAGGAACAAGAACTTTGCCTCCTCCAGCTTTTCCTTAGGACAATTCTGATAATGTATCCAGTCACCAGATGTTCCATGATTAATAATGTTAACTTGGAGAGACTTAAAATACTTGTAAATTGAGATATATGTGAACTTTAATGATTTAGCTAATAGCTGAATGGAAATATTGGCCAGAGGCCAGGGCAGCAGAGCCCTCTGTGGTGGCAGCTTTTGGGCCTTCCCTTCCATCATAGAATCAACCCAACCATGCCTTGCATCTCTTCTGGGCAAGCAATTGAACAGCAGCATCTTCCTGCTATTCCTGCAATGGAGTCTAACATCTATCATAATGCCTAGAATGAATCTCAGTATCCAGGAGCTATTAGTTTAAACTAATACATCTCCAGAAAAATATAAACTTCATGACAGCAGACAACTGGCCTGATTTGTTCATTGCTGTTTTCCCAATACCTTCAAGCCAATGCCTGTAACACGGAAAGCACTAAATAATTGATCAACAAATGAATGAATGAGAAGATAAGCTGGAGTTAGCATAACCTACCCATCAGAGCTGTGACACTGAAAAGACTGCAACTTGGTGATGACTTCGGTTCTGAGCAAATGGTGATGGCTGATGATCCTAATGTCCAAGAAATCATTTGTCTAAGTCTTACATCATGTTTTCTTGAATTGTTGTATATAACAGAAACAGACCCAACACTGAGATGAAGATAATGAACAGGACACAGCAGACATCTACTCAGAACCTACATTCTTAACAGTGTGGT